GGGGGGGGTTGTCGATTTTGTGCAGACCACCAATAACAATCAAATATAATTTACCTTTCACGTAAATTAAGTTCTGCGCTTTTTCTAACGTGCCTGAAACTAGGCTTATAAAAATCCAACTTCAATTGGTTGTAATCGCACAATCTAAGTCAAGTTTCACCCAATCGCATTGTTAGATATAACATCACAGTACAAATCGCGTCCCAAGCTTCGAGCTTTGCCTAGCAAATCCCGACTCTGCGTATTTTGTGCCAGAGAGCCCCACTCAAATGAGCAAATTAATAATGACCCTAATAATGGAGGTCGATTTCGATACGACTCTTCGTAATAAATCTCCAACGTTTCAATAATGACACCGAGGAGTCTGTTTTCATACTACCGCGAGAGCGTGCTAAGAGCGGCACGAAAGTCCTTGATTATTGCGGTGACTTATAGGCGACTCTTACTGGGCGCTCCATGACGGGGAGATAGAATAGAGCATCGGCTTGCAGATTCTGGCTTCGATCGCGACGCGATTTTGAAGACTTATAATTTCGTTTTGGGTGGAGCCAGATACTGTAATCCTGGTTCCCGAGATTCTTTCTATCTTATCCTGCTGGAAAAGCTGGCAGAGACGATTGGCTTCGTCATTTCCTTAATCGATACAACGAAAATTCGCTCAGAGTTTGACATCTGCTTCTTTCCTCGTGCGTCGTGTCCCTGCCGATCGGCAACTAATTGTCGTTGGAGGTCCAAAGGCATGTCGCTGTGCGTGGACAGCAGTCCGTGTCGGGTGACGTGCTCTTCGAGTCGCTTGAAATTCTCCGGCTTCATTCGGTGGTGGTTCCCTTCCGAGTCAAGCCAACAGTACCGGCCCGACTCACAGAACGTCGGACAGCGCATGAATGCATACCCGTCGGGCTAGATGGGCGGCCCTCCCGTTTCTTCTTCTGCGGCCGCGATCTCTCGGTCCCGCTACGCTAGCACGCCACTACTGGCTGATTTGCGTTCCTTCTTCTCGCCTCTTCTGGCTGACCGGCCTGCCGACTGCGCAGAAAATGGAACGAGAGGTTGACCCGGAGTTTCTTGCCCCTCTGAAAATGTGAACTCCCATCAAGTAGTTGCTTATTCGCCACGGCCCAGTCCATCTCAGTGCCCTCGTATTCTTTGGAGAGGTCTCGCTGCGAACGCTCCGTGACGGAGACCACCACCGCGGTGTGCTCGTGCCGTCGTCGTCGATTCTTCGCGAACCGCCGCCGGACGACTTGCTCAAGCCGGTCATGCAAGACTAGCCTCCAGTCGAAAGAAACGACCACGTTGGGGTCGGACTGGTTAGCATCGGCCTTGCCGTTCAGTCTCACCTTCCTCTCGATCGAATAGTGGAATCTGTCTCCATCATCCGGCTCGTCCGGGTCCGAATCCTCCTCTTCCAACAATGGACCAGTTCTCTCGATAGGCAGGGGGGCATTGACTCGATGCCTCGGCGGTTTCGTGGGCTCGCTTGCGAGGGAGAGGCTCGGGAAAGAGGGGGGAAGGGGTCGAAGCCTCTCCGCAGGGCGTGGCGGTGCCAGGGGGTTGTGAATGAACATGTGAGGTGTCTTGAGAATGCCATTGCAAATGAAATACCTCGTCCAAATCAACATACTCGGTCATGGCGTTCGTTGCGACCTACGGAGGCCATGGCTTCGTTGACTTGATGTCGAAGGGTTTGGGAGGGTGTCCATCCCAAGTCTTCTTGCCTGTCCGCGTGTCAACATCTTCGAACCCTGGGTATACCATACCGCACCTATCAGAGCGCCTCTCTGCACGACCATCATCCCTTCTCCTACCTGTATGGTGTGTATTTATC